CTGTCCGAGTCCCCGGCCTCGCTCTCGTCGCATCGGCGCGGCGCGACGCGGCGCCTTAACGAACGTCGCGCGTTCCTTTTTTTCCAAAGCGGGTACTGGCTACGTGACCGCCTTTGTTGGCCGGCAGCCGGCTTCACATGCGAACGAGCGTAAAACGTGCTCCCCGCGGATCCCGGTCTCGACGCGACGACCCAATTTGCTCGGGAACGAACGGTCGCCGACGGAACGACCGCGTCGCCGGCGATACGGTGATCCGATAGCGACAAGCTTGAAATATTAATGCCTTACGCCTGATTCCTTCGTTGCTCGGCGACTCGGGCTTATTGTCTAACGTTTCGGCTTGGGCGCCGGGAACGTACGCGATTCGAGCGAGCTTCTTGGCTACCCGTTCCTCGTGCCCCGTTCATTTCGGGATTTAGGGGAACGGGGATTGATAGCGGAAGCCAATGTTAAGTCTGGGAAAGGAGTATAGAGGAAATCGGTGCTTCGGCTTCTGAAATGATTGTAGGATATATTCGGTAAAACCAGTGAATCCTTGAATAACTGCAAGGATTATTTATTCTATCAACCCCTTGACGTACTGTTTACTTTTGCTACTAAGCTCGCGTGATATTCGACTATCGACAATTTAGAAGAAAAGCAGCAAAGTTGTCCATTCTACTTTAAGCGGAGATTTCATTTGGAGATAATACATTGATAGCGAAATAGTTTGCTTTGAGCCATGGGTAATGAACAACATTGATTGCTGTTAAGTTAGTCTAGAGAACTTCATCACGAGTATTGCTCGTCACTGTACGGTAAGGGGTTAAGATTTACAGGAATCAGGAAGTAAGGAATCGATTCAATTATTGAAACGCGAACGGTTGATAGGACAAAGAATCCTATCCTAACCTACCATCGTCCAGATCTCCTTATAAATTGAGTATCTCCAACGAAAAGCTGTCGAGTTCGAACTGTCAATGATTCGACTAACAAGAGATTCATCCCCAGTGGAATTTTCCCGAGAACCAGAGAATTAAACGAGAACCGAGATAGCGGCAGCGTTGATGGGAGTCTTCTAGGTACGTTGACACCGCAAGAACGCCCGGATTAACTTCCGGCGAGATGGCCGAAGAGGTTCAGCGGGGCCAGAGATTTCGAGCGGCGGTAAGTACCTTAATCGAGAACAATAAAACGAAGTATGCTCGCGCGTCCGCGGCAGACAAAAGGAGAAGGAGGCGGGAAGAAGACGAAGAGGGCCGGGGACCGCGCCGCGAAGAGCAACGAGACATCCGGAACCGCGCTAAAGATAACTCCGACGGCTTGTTTATGTCTTGTAAATTCGCGGACGCGGCCGAATAAACCCTCTTCGTTCGCGGTCGAATCTGCTGCCGCGTTAACGAGCGGCGCACGGTTCTTTACGAGCCGCGCCGGAAAGGGGGACGCCCGTCACGGAGGACACGCGAGCTCACCATTAAAATTCGATCAGATAATCTTATTTGCGCCGCGATTAGGCCGATTCTTTCGGCCGACCCTCCGCGATCCCGTGGAGCGGCGACTCTCCCGTCGCTGGCATCCGGTGACCAGACACGAGCACGAAAATAATTATAACGGTGCGTGTTTATTGGGAACTCGGTCGTCGCGGCGAGCAGATAAAACGGATGAAATGTTCCAAGTTTAGCGGCGCGATGGCGCTTCGTTCCACTGTCTGAAAGTGTCAGGTTATCGGTACGTGGAATCGAATCGAGTTTAATCGTTCGTTCTCTTAATTAGTTACTCTTATTCTTGTTACTTGCTTAGAAACGGAGAAACGGAAATGTTTACGATAGTTCTATGTGAAAAAAGAAAGGCGTCATTCAGTTTCTGAAGTAACAAGGAGCGATCGCGCTTTGCCACTTCTCGACTGGAATTTCGCAGGTCGTGGCACTCGAACAGTTGAATGCCAGAAGAATAGAGAATGCAAGAGAATTCGGGAGGATTTAGGGAATTGATATGGATTCTGAAGATTGCTGTTTAATGTAGATTCATGTGATGGATTGGTAGATTCAATATTAACCTAACCCCTTTCACTTTGGCCTCTGTCAAAGACACTACAATTGATAGCAGAGAAATAATATTCTTCTGACAAGAGATTAGAGAGGTAATACAGGCGAGATCAGTAATTAGGAACGAATAATACTCAAAGCCGCAGAAGCGTGATCCAAATTACGCGGTAGTTGGAGTTTCGAAGCAATCGCGGACTTCGAAACACAAGAAACTTCGCGTCGGTTGAAAAATACTAACGGTCAGCGGTTCTCGAAGGGTAACCCTGATTCGGGGGAGGGTTGCGAGCCGAGGTCTCGTCCTGGCGTGGAATCCTTCGCGCCTCGGCGAAATTCCACTCGCACCGGGCCCGGATCTGGGTCAATGGGCGGCTGGAACCGCTATCTCGGAGTTTAAAGGGTTACGATAGTGGCGTCGTTTTCGGCCCCTTCCACCCGGAGCCTCGCGTGAAAATGAAATCTCGAGAGCCCTGCCAGCGCGGCGAGCCGGTAATCCAGCTGCGGCACGAATTGCGCCCGGCCAATTGAAAGAAGTGGCGTTGACAGTTTTAAATGGAAGGAAATTGTAATCCTTTCGGTACAAAGGCGCGCCGCTCGAAGATTTCGCCGATGCGATCGCTCGACGCGTGGATATTCGATTATCAGTGCTTCGACACGAATCGGTTATCAATCTTTATCGAACTCATATCGTGCGACGAAGCTTCTTCGCAATTAACATTTCTTTCATCGATTCGAATCGAGCGGCTCGTTCGATCTAAACGAGTTCAGATCGGATCTTTCGCTTACGATAAGACTTCATCGTTGTCTTTCATTTCTATTCCTTTTTCCCGAGAAGAACAATGAAATTCGTTATAGATCGAAGATTACGCAACGAGATTGTCCGATCAATTCGCATCGCGAAGGTCGTTTCGGAATGGACGGAGGACAACGGAGGAACTATCAAACAATACATCGCGAACGTGACGCGCCGAGCAACAACGAAAAGGTAGCCGAAAACAATGAGACCCGCGTCGAAAGGGAGCTCGCAGAGAGTTTCCCTCTGTCCCGGTGTCTGTTCCGCGTCTCTGAAACGCGGCGGTGTTTCGCGCGTAAATAGTTTTCCAGAAACGTATACAGCCGGAAGTTCAGCGTTGACACGGCACCGGGCGAGCTCCTCTTTCCACCCCTAACAACTATTTGCTTTTGAGGTGACCTTAATCTAGGAAATGGCCACTAAGGGGCGTTCGCCGCACGAACGCGGGCAAAACGGGACACGGGCAAACTGCCGGCGAGGCGGAGGGGATCAAGCGAGACCGCCGCCGGAGCGGGGGCCAGATGAAATAGAAACTTTTCAGGATATTGTAGCGGTTTATCGCTGTTTCCCGCGAATGAAACGCGCCCGACGAATTCTTCCCCTCCGCGATGCAGACTGAATTCTCGGCGATTCGCGGGAGAATCGGACCGTTGTTCGAGGAATCATGGAACTGACTGTAAAACAATCATTTCACTGATGATTCCATATTTCCGAGATCACCTCTACAGCACATCGACAAGCAAAATGAAAAAAATTTAATTTGAAAACTAACGCGTAAACAGAGACGCATCTCCCAAATTTCCAAGGAGTTGCGAACGAAGAGATTATACTAATCCAATATAGTTTCATTACAATAGCTCGTCCAATTATCGCCGCCGACACGCCACATAGTGTTACCGTCAACACTAGCCACGGCGAGTCCCGAGTGACCCAGCTATCGAGTCGACACGCGAATCCTCGCAGCCGACAACAATGAAAAAGAAAGAAAGAAGGAAACAGCGAGTAAGCTTGTCGACAATCGTTCGCGAAGAAAAACAGCGCCGCCGTGAAACGCAAACTTCGCTGGGCAAATATTTATTGCGAGAGCGTGGAGTTCACGCAACAGGGAGCAACGACGGCGGGCCGGCCGGCCGGTCGGTCGGTCGTTATTCGCGGAACTTGGCCGTGGAAAGCCGTCCTGTCGAGAGTTACGTAATTGAAAAACAGGACGAATTGGGTCGTCGTCGTCGTCGTCGTCATCCAACAGGTCCACGGTTCCCGACGGTCTCGCGTTCCGTCCGAACGACCGGCAGCCGCGCGCAGCTCGCCGGGCGTAAACGAGACTCGGCAGCTACGGGTATAACCGAGCCGCGCGGAAAGTCGGTCAACGACTTAACCAGATTTTCCCGGTGAAAACTTTCTGAAAATTGACGTGGGACGAGGCGGTGCTCGTCGTTTCGCCAACGCCTCTCGGCGGCCCTCGGCGCGCCGGCACCGTTGTCACCTCCGCGAGGACAAAACATCTCCGAGAAAGGACGGACGAAGGGATGGACGGGCGGTTTCTTACCTCCTTGTCGGGAGCTGAAGGCACCGGTGCTTCCAGCGATGATTAGAAGCAGCAGCGGGCTTAATAAAGCTCTCGAGGAAGGCAGCATCTTTCCTGTACTCCTCTACCGGCGCCTGCGCGTCACAGGGTCCTTTAACCGGCTTCCCTCATCACAGCCCCTCTGCGAAAGAAAAAGGATGAATGGTAACGAGCGAGTCTCTATTAGAAAATCCGTTTGTTTCTCTCTTCTCCCAGCGAACACTGGGCTCTGGTTAACCTCGTGCGAGGTTTGTTCGTTTGTTTGACAGTGTTTAGTCCTTTCGGAATTAACCATTTGCACTCGAGAGGTGATTCACCGCCAGATGAATGGTGAAACTGTACAATTTGATATTTAATATTATACCTTGTATAACGATTTTCCTCTAATGCAAATCCCTCTAATTTCTTCTAATCTAAATATTTCTACTGAAAAACTTTCGAGTGCAAAGGGTTGATCGTGTCCTTATGTCTAAGACAATCTAGATTTCAGAATGTTATAAAAAAATGATTACCAGTTTATACGTTACTATATTCGTTTAGTAATGTTTCAGATGTATAGATGAATCAAAAGTACAGCAAGGTTGAAACGTACTTCTCTCTCTTAAGTAAAAGTTACCGAAAAATTTGGTTCAAGCTATCGACGCTGTCGTACTCGATTAATTACTGAAAATATCTATTTAACGGAAGTGAAAGTTTGTCCAATTCCGTGGAATGCGCATCGGAAAGTCGCAGCATCGAAGAAACATCGAGATCGGCGCAGAACGGCCCCGCTTGGGACAATTGTTATCGTTCTCGGTTTACCGGAAGCGCGCGCGAAAGGAAGCCATCCGACGCGTTACGATTTTCGTAACGAGACACGGTACGTACGCCGCTTAAGAAAGGGGTGCGAACGGTGTAATTTTTACGTGGCCGCTTTGGAGACGCGGGAACCGATCCTTGCCCGGGCGCAATTAAGCTCGGGCGAAATTGGACTCGTTCCTGGGGCGGAGGCGACCGGCGCTAACGACTCCGAGCAGCTCGTCGCTCCTCCCATAACGAGGCCGCGTTATCGAAACAAATTTCGGTACATTATGAGCCGGATAACGCCGGAGCGAGAAGGTTAACCCTTTGTTCCGTTCGTCGATCGCAATTATCTGCCGGCTGCAACCCGATTACCCGTGTAATTCTTTTTCAGCCGGCAATATCCGTGCTTCCTTTTGCCGTTCGCGCGCCGATCCGCCGAGTTAATGAGCCCGGAACATTTAATCCGGCGTCCATTAAGGCGTCAACATTTGTTGCCCCGGCTGCTCGAGAGCGTTCCACCTTCTCAGATCGTTGCGATGGAACTTGATGAACTTTGATCGTTCGGTGTACTGGTAATCGCATGAAACCGATGGAGCTTAACTTTGTACTATTTTCTTTGGTATTCCTTCGCGGCGTCTTTTAGATTGTGGAAATTCTTATGTGACGAAGTTTTCGTTGGTTTTTATATGGGAATGAATCAGTTTTTATTCAACTGAAACAATGAGTAACGGTACTATTGCTCGTAATGAACGTTAACTTGTTTTATAAATATTGTCATGGAGATTCAGATCTGTTTTCACTTTTAATTGATTTCAATTTTATCTAGTCGAACCGGTAGACGGTTGTCATCGCCAGTTTTATTTATAACAATTTTCAAAGAAGTTCGAGGGCAATCATTTCCTTGGTGTAATAATATAATAATACTGATTATAATACTATAGTAGCCCCGAAAAATAACGATACAGTAATCCTTTCTCAGCGAAATGAAGGCGTCCAGGAAGTTGCAGCTGCGATCCTCATACAGCAGCTAATTCAATACGAAACTTCCATTCCGAGAGTAAATTGAAATCAAGAAGTAAACAGATTCCGGCCCAGACGGGGGTGGAGGCTCGAGACAAGAAAAAGTGGTAGTCGCGAAGAAGAAAGTGGTCCCCCCGTCGAAGGGAATCGATTGAACTGATTATCCTGGTAGCTTCCTCGGACTCCTTCGCGCGATCGGGGCGGCGCCGCGCGGAGCGGCGCGTTAATTAAACGATAATTAGCCCGTTATTCATCGGCCGTTTATTATATTTCAGCGGCTAGTAATTGCCGTTGCAATTTCTCCGGCGTTATTGTGGCCCGAATGAAAATGTAATAAAATTCGGTCCCGATTAACGACCGCAATCCTTTGTTTCGCGTAATAAACGTTGGCCCGCGTAATTTACATCCGCGCCGCGGCGAAATTTCAATGGCAAATAATTCACCGGCGCGGCCCGGCATCGCGTGTCCCGGAAACCGGGTCCCCGGGATTCGCCGCGGATTTTTCGATGCGTTCGTGACACCCTCGATCACGGCCGGATATTTTTAACCCGCCGTTAAGGGTCATTAGGCTCGACCGGTGGGAAGAGACGGCGATCGCCCTCCGAGCCAATTGCCGCACTAGACACAACACCGCGAATACCAAATAGGACAGAATGCTTCGTTCCTCGTTTCTTCTTCCGCAATTGTTCGGAAGACGGCAGCTTTACGTCGAAGTCACCGAATTAATTGATTTCGCGATCTGAGACGCAAGCTGATCGAAATTTTGATAGTTTCGATAGACGTCAGTTCCCTCGGTTCTAGTGCCAACGTGTAAATGCTGCATGATTTCAAGCTACAGTAAATTGTTTAACCTATTGCTGTACAATGACGAGTGAGACGTGATGAAGATTTCTAGATTAATTTAATAATCAATGTAGTTCATGGCCCACTTGAAGTAGAATGGAAAATTTTGTTACATTTCTTCTAAATTGTTGATAGTGAAATAATCACCTGCTTAGAAAGTAAATAGTACGCCAAGGGGTTAAGTTACGTTATCTTTAGACATTCATCGAATAGTCATGGGTTTATGTAATGATAGAATAGTAAGTAGTAGAATGCGATAAATTTCGTAAGTACAGGAATCAATCGAGAGTTCTAACACTAGAATGTCATCGGTCTCTCTTTGGTTCTTCGCGTTGAAATTATTGTACGGGCGTGAACAGAGCTGCTGAAAGGAGGAAAGCAGTGCATTTCCCGGAGTGTAGCCCATCGTTCTTCGTTTTAACTGGCAAGCAACGTCGATTCTTCTTCGGAAAGCTAGTTCCACGAGTCGAAGCGCGGATAATGGCAACCGTGTCACCGTCCCGTCGCGTCGGACTCTGTTTTGCTTGGAGCGAGCATCTTAACGCTAAACAGCTTCTCGAACTTCTTAACTCGAATCTTGTCACAGATCTACTTCTGCAACTGGGAACGCAGTTGCGGGCCACGAGCACCGTGTCCACGGAGTACGAAACGCTGTACGGCCCCTTCGCGACGGCCCCGCGAGAATTAACGCTAGAACTACCAGTCAAAATCACTGGTTTCGATTTTTTTGTTCAGCAACTATTGATATCTTCGAAGCATTGAATATTCGAAATGATTTTGAAAATGAATAGTTTCAAAGAATCGACAAAAGGTTAATTGATAGAAGATTCAGTTTGCGTGAATCAATTTCTCTAATAATTTCTCAGAGAAACATCTGCAATCTTTCTGATCATTGCAAGAAGAAATCGAGAATGGTTAGTGTTAAAATGATTTCAATTTTCTTATTGGGCAGTTATCGATATCTCAGAAGCATTGATCCGTTCACTGTACGTTACACATTTGTGACGACGATAAACTTATGCTTTACATAAAGAAAATTAAATCGATAGTATAGATATCGTTATATAAAGTCACAAGACACGACGTTATATTTAGAAAGTCGATAACTTTCTGCAGCGGTATTGTTTCAAATATTTCATTAGACGTAACCGAAAGAGATCTACCGGTGAAATTTGTACGAGGATTACGTATTAATCATATTAAACGCTCGGAAGTTCCGGCGTTAACCAAATCACGGTCTCGCGACATTATATAAAGTGTCTCCTTCCTCGGATCCTTTTAGCCGGGATATGGAAATAGATCGATTGCGCGCTTTAACGGGAAATGGAATCCCGACGAATCGCCCGATACGAATAATTCGAACAGAAAATACTTTAAAACAATGGCCAGCGGTGCATAAATCGGAGCAGGTTAGCAGCGGCGCTCCGAACCGTCGGTTTTTCACACTCTTTCTCCCGTTTCATCGTGTACCGTTTTAATTCCATTGTACTCCACTTTTCATTGTCATTATTCCCGGTATTATTCGTATTTTCAGATTGCATTAACCTTTATTTCCGTTCGCTGCCGTATTCCGCATGATGCCGCGCATTACGAGCATCGCGCCTTTTATCGAGGAATGTAATTTTATTTGGCAAATTGCATCCGATCCCGCGAATCGATTCGCTGATAATCGAGCGTTCCGATTTACATACTTGCTGACCGCGAGCGCACGACCCTTCCAGAACTTTTACCAACATTCGACCGGCGCGTTTGTCAAGCCGACTAACCGCGCAAAATGAAAAACAGGGAAATTTGATAGAATCAGTCGCATAGAGAATCAATTAAACGTTTCACTCGATTGTCTCGTCCGATTGTTTCCATCGGAACGAACGTTTTTGTTCGATTTCGTTCGACCGAATTGCCACTTGACTCTACGCTCGTTCGAAGAAAGAAAACTAACCAATTACATCTACATTCCTCATGGTCATCGAGTAGCAGACAAACAACATGGTTTTGTAATTTATCAGCAACAGCAACTAATTTATGGTATCTCTAGTGAAAATGAAAAATGCTGTAACATTCGTTCGATATTTTATTCTTCTTCTCAGTACGAAATTTCGATGTGTGGAAAATCTAATAATTTTGGGGTAGTTTCCTTAAAATTCATTAAAATATTCAATATCACAACTGGTGCGATATTGGAGCCTACGGAGTTCAAAGGGTTAAACCCTCTCAAAACTTCTAACACACAATTCTCCCAATCGAAGGTAAAATCTCACTATCAATGCTCCTATCGCAATACATCGACTACCTTCTAAAACACACCCCTACAAACGCGTACCGATCGTCCCGAAAGGGTTAACACGCCGAGGAACTGAGCATTTCAATGCAACTCGCTGCACGAGCGTTCTCGAACGCGTCGCAGTGTGACGCGCGCGGATTCAGCCGCGGTAAAATATACAGTTGATATTTCAGCAGGGAAAAACGCGCGCAAAACGTCCCCGTACCGTTGGCGTT